ATGGCTCAGACTGTTTTTCTGGCTGATGTGGTGGGCCCTTGATTCACTCTTTCTCTAAATAGGACTAGAAATGTTCCGTTCATTGACATTGGTGTGTGCACTCCCAAAACACATTTTGGTTTAGATGAGTCAACAATTTCTAATATTTTCCAAATAGCTCCAGTTGTTTTTGTTTTTTTCATGTAGAAAAAGTGTGTGCTTCCTGGTGAAGGGCACAGTAGATTGTATAGTAGTGTAGGAAACATGAATCACTTTCCATTTGCCTCTCTGCTGCACTCCATTCTCCCAGACACTATGAGCAAGGCAGAAGAATTCAAGCTCCATTCTAGCCTGACTCCTTCATGTAATTCCTACAAATCCTGTCCTTCTTACTTATCTGCTCTCTTGCTATATGTTACTGAAACCTAACTCATCCAGAAAATTTGAGAAATGTTTTTTTGTGTACCAAAGGAGTTTCTTTGCTTGCCCACTTAAAAGATCGACCTTTGAAACTTTCTGGTGTTTTCTTCTTTTCTATCCTGACTTCCCAACCAGAAAAACAAATTCTTCATTTATTTTTTTTTTCCATTAGTTATTTCAAGCTAATAAAATAATGAATTATTTTCATTCCTTTGAAAATCAGACCTTGAAATTTTTAGAGAAACTGACACGGAAAAACAAACTCGTTATGTTTTGACTTTCTCAGAATTCCTTCTACTCTCTGGGCTTTTGGAAAATCAAAAAAGTTCTCCCAAACTTATCAACATTTCCAGAATACTTCAAAATCCATTATTTGTTTGGAAAAAAAAAAAAGAAAACTAATCAAACAAGTCAACCCTAAAGTGCATTTTTCTGGAGGAGTTTTATAGGTAATGTATAATGACAAAGAAGCATTTTTGCACCCAAATGAGGAAGAGTCCACCCATAAATGTTCTCAGTATGATATTTTTGCTTTAGTTCATCACTGTGAATATTATGTGCAAGGCACAATGTGAGCCATTTAGAGAACTGAGTTTCTCAGAAACTCATTTTCATTTAATGAGAAATAAAGTTAATGTTGTTCTATCACCCATTTTCTGGCTACCTTTTATCTCACTCTTCTGAAATGTTACTGAGTGGCTCTTCTCTGGAGTCACACACAAGCCCAGTTGGGAGACACACTGTAAAACTGTTTACTTCGGATTTGTCTGCTCAGTAGATGAGATTTCTTTGTATTCTGACCACTTGATTTTTGATAGATCTTCCTTTTTGTTCCTAAAACTAAGACAGCAGATGTACATACAGAACAGCTGTGTTTGTGAGACATGCTTTAATCTCTCCCCTTGCAAAGAAGCCCACTACTCACAAGCTGCTTCTTGTGGCTGAATCACTGTGCTGACCAAGGCTCTTCTACTCACTATGTTGCTCCCAAGATCATAATGTCACATCTAAGTGTGCTGACAATTCTGTGATCCCTCTCTGGCCTCTGCTAGCAGACTGGAGGGACTGCCTCCTCTAAATGAAATTCAGAAAATGAAGTACTGCTCCCAAAAACATTTAGAGTTTCATGAGGTTGATCTTCAGCTGGAAAGGCTACTTTTTCCTCAGGAACCCAGTCTGTCTCCTGAACAACCCATGGCCTTAAAGGTATTAGCATAACATCAGTGAGTGAACTTGCACAGGGATTTAAATACGTGTACTGTGTGTCTACACCATCTAATTGGTTTTTTCTGTACTTTGTCTCAAGGAGACTGCAAAAAAGCTGCTAATTGTCTCTCAGTCTGCATCTGGAGCAAGGCACAGTTGCCAGGTGAGCCAGTGTCTACCAGACCACTCAGGGCTTCTCCAGAAGCTCAGGGCTTCTCCAGGCATGAGCGACAAGGGCTGTGTGGACGTCGGTCCCAGCTCACACTCAGCTCCTCTAAGATACACTCCGTGTCCTTAAACCACAAACCAAACGACTTACAACATTGTATAGTGCAGAAAATGACACTTCCAAGTGTATTTATTGAGAAATAGTAACGATGTACATAATTTTACAAGCTTTTAATTTTAATTTACATTTTTCTTAAATTAGGTAGGCCCTAATAAACTATAATCTGCTAATACATGACAGAGACCCTTGGTTTTAAATCTCCAAATGCTGCTACTGCTGGGATTTTGGCTAATGTCACTTCAGCTGCTCTTGAGAGATACTAAATACCATATTCATTTACAGCATATGCCTGGTGTCAATCCTATAAAGCAGAGATGACTTTTGAACTGAAACCCTGGATCTGGATACAACTTCACTGCTAAAACCTAGTCATCCTATTGTGGGTCAAGTCTATATTCTCCATAAACTCTGCAGCTCCAATGGGATGTAAGATTTCATCTGCCCCAAGAGGAAGAGTACTTATAGAGTACTTATATAAGTCCTTATAGAGGACTTTGATTTGGCCTCATCTCCCTTGTCAGTGCTTACACTGGAACACACCCTACATCTGTTTCAGATGCAAACACTGCTGCTCACACTGGATTCGAATGGGAACAGATCTGGGAACTAGCTGCTACCTCTATCTTTGTGCACCATCTCCACAGGCATCTAAAAATAAGTGTAATTTTTAGGTTTTATCTGCCCTCTTTCACTGAATTGCACAGTTATGTCTGAGGTACTATACCATGACTGTGATCACACAATATTTGTATTTTGCAAGCTGACCACTCAAATGCCTGATCAAGGTTCTATACTGAGAACTTCTACACTATCAGCAAAAGGCATTTTATTCTGTATTTCATTTGCCCAAAATACTTGCAAATGGGACCTTGTGCTCAATCTCGGTTGTTGAGGAGAGGCTGAAGGGAAGGTAGTTTCTGATTAAAATGCTTCTGAATTAAAATGCACTCAATGTCAAAGTGACCAACCTTCATTTTCATCTTCTTAGACCCATCTGGAACAGTCTGGCATGACTGCCTCTGCCTTGGTTATTTCCTCCTCTGTATTGTTCATGCAGGAAAATATATTGGACTAATTTCTCTCTACAAGGCAGGCATGTACTACACAATTTTATTTAAAGATATATAGCAATTTTTGCTTAGCAAGAGAGTATTCATGCTCTGAAATTTTCTTTTAGAGTTTTAATATTGCGAAGCCTTTTGAGCTACATCCTTGAGTTTTCTTTGGATACATGTTTGTGTGGGTTACTTGTTTTAACAATTAACTTTCACTATGGTAGCACACAGAACCATGCCATGCTCTGTAAAACTTCCCTCCTTTTGACTCCATCTCCTCTCTAGAAGTCCATATATTAATTGAGCCATATCTGCCACAGAAAGCTAAGCACAACTCCAATGAAGGCACTTCAAACCTTTAATAAGAACCAACGGCTGTTGCTGGGCTACTTTTTGTTCTTACATTTGATTAGGAAAAGAACACTGAAAAGATGAACAAATAACTTGAGAAATAATATTACTTCATGCATTTAAATAACACCATGACATGTCAAAAAAAAGAAAAAAAAAAAGAAGACAAAAAAGCTAGTTAAGCGTACAAATTTTTTATCATGTCTTTTACATTGAGATTTTTATGTAATGCTGGAACTTGAGAAGGTTTCAAAGTTCTTTCCAATTCCAGTAGAAACTCCTTTTTTCCCCACCTGAAAAACTACAAAAAAGCTGTACTACAGGTTTTTATGACACGTATTTCCAGGTACTGAAAATATAAGGAAGGTATGCATAATTTTTTTTTTTTGTTTTGGACACAAAAATCTATCACCCAAATATCTACCTAGTCTACAGTGATTTCATATGTAGTGAGTCTCATGTGGTGGCTTTAAACTGCCCAGTGATAAAAAATTACTGTTGTGTGGTGACTCGTATATCCAATTCCAACACAGCAAAGAAATCTATTTTTTTGAATTTATAGAGGAGTTTCACCTTGGACTTGTAGAGGCTCCAGGCTTTCACCTACCAAGCAACTTTATTAAAACTTCAACAAAGTTTAAATTAGCAAAGTTACTACCTGGTAACTATGGCATATGATGGCTTTAGAGCAAAAAGAGGGATTTTCACCTCAGTACTGTGCTTGTGCAGACATCCTGGATTTGCCTTTAGCATCTTCTCTTGCAAACACCTCTTCACACAGTCAGTGCACATGCAGCCCCAGGTGTCTCCACATACAGTGTTAAAAACTTAAAAAATAGTTTCCATCTTCTGCCATGAGAGACAAAGCACTTGCTGTTGTTTCAGAGTGCTCAAGCTGCACATAGAATATTAAGGGCCCTGTGTGCAATGTGGATTTTGCTCATTTTCCATAGCTGAAAGGTAGCATGTTCAAACAAGACGGATTGCTGTATGGACCGTAACTTTTAACAGAAAATATGGAAGTTAAGGTGATATATTTCTCAAAGCTTCTTCATGAAAATCACTTCCTTATCCTCTCCTCAGATGCCTGACATGCTACGGAAATTTCTGATTCAAAAACATTTAGGGTTGTCCCTGTGTAATTTTGCTGAGCAATCAAAAACAGATGAGAAAAGTCATGCTGACCCAAAACAAAACACATGAAAAAGTGGAACAGAATGGAAAAGCTACCAAAATGCTGTTTTCTTTACCAAAGTGGACTGTTCTCCTGAAACGGCCGATGTCATCAAGCCAGCAATTTCAGCAGCTTGTTTTGATCCTAAATACGCTAAACGTAGCATCATTTCCAAATCTGACTGATGAGAGCTTCTTTAGTAATTTTTCATTCCCACTGAACTTGTGTTTTACTCCCCATCTGGGATTAACTCCAAGTTTTCACTTTCTAGTAATGCCACCTGAACACCTCGTCTGCTGGGTGCACTGTTACACACAGCAGATGTACATATGTTGTATGGCTTTCAGTGGACATGGTAATGAACGAATATGGCTCTTAGTTCTCTTGCTGGAGAATCAAGAAATGATGCTGAAGGTGTTAAACACTGTTTCTTCTTTTACCTTTCCAGGTAGCGGTCCCCAGTATCAACCTCCCAGTATATTCTTAACCTTTCTCAAAAAATTAGTGGAATTATTCAGAATCCAAATAAAAACACAAACTTTCCTTTATTATTTTTTCTCACTGCAACAAATACTTAAATTCTTTGGTGCAGCTCTGCTCTTTGATTTCTTTGAATTTCAAATTTGGTCATGTCAAAAATTATCACAAAGGTTTTTCTGTTTATCTACATAGTTTTTAACCAAAATTACATTGTAACACACAAACACAGTCTTCTCTTTAAGGCACAACACATCATATGCACATTCTGTTTGCCAAACTTATAAAAGAGACAATATTATATAGCCCTTTCCCTCCCCTGCCCGCCCCCCGCAAAAAAAAAATGAAAGAAAAATTGCATCCACTTCCAAAATCAGCTGCTAATAAAGTCACAGTAAATTATTTTCATCAATAATTTACACAAATTACAGGTCTAGACAGGATTGTCATTATACAGTCTGAGTGCATTCCAATTCAGATTTTTTGGGTTAGGTAGGCTAAAGTCTGGTTCAAACCTCAGTGCTGAGAATATATCCCATTTTGAGGAATGTTGTTGAACACCACCTTGTTGGCTGGAAAATGCGCTTTGGTGCTTTGCCAGTTTGAGTCCTTTGTTCACTCCTGTCAGGGCTCACTTGGTGTGTACCAGCAACCTCCACAGTTTTAATTCATTTAAAAACGTTGCATATATAAGACCATAGAGCTTTCTTACGTAGCACTAATGTTTTAACTTCATTCAGCAATCTGAATTCTTCAATTTGGAATTTTTAATTCCAAATATTTCTTCCCTTCTTAAGACAATTCATATGTGTAAAGCCAGAGGCATTGAATCACACATAAAAATTCAGTGTACTTGAAATATATATATATATTTATATATATATAAAAGGATCACCAGCTTTAGAACACAGTTACAAATACTCTAGTTCCAGTGCTTGATGGAGAGCCAAGAGGTCCGAATGACTGGATATCCTCCAGAAAGGCATGTTGTGCTGTGTTTGTTAGAGGAGGGAAAAGGTCAGGAAAGATGGACACGGTGACGCGGGGCGGCATACGACACACCACGAGAGTTAGAGATTACCAGCACCTAATTTACGCCACTGTGCTTCTGGATTGATTTTTGTTATTCAAGTACTGACAAAAATCAGACCAAAACAGATCTGAGCTTAGTAGCTCAACTGAAGTTAAAATAGTTAGATGACAGCCTTTCTTAAGAGTTTCTTTGGAAAATGCCAGTTACTTATTAAGAGCTACTTGCTTATTGTTAGCATGCAAGCCCATACAAAGGAGCATTAATAGGAAATACTTTGATGCTCCCCTTATTTGACTGCAAAATACTGAATCATCATTTAAAGAACTCTAAGAGACTTCCATGAAAAGATGCTTCTCACTCAACACTTCAAGACAGAGCTAATTATACTTTTCTCCATCCAGGCAGAAAAATAAATCTCTTTGGATAAGAAAATAACACATTTCTAGTTTAAGAAAAGATAATTTGTGCTGCAGAAAGCATCAGCATCTGTGAGAGATGCAGGTATATGAACTATTTCCCTTCAATAATTCATCAAAATGGAAAAAAAACCCCATACTTCCATGTTGTGCTTAGATCTATTTGAAATGTGCTATATTCATCCATATCTCTGAATTCTACATCTATCCATGCAATATAGCCAATGTTAAGGAAAAAGCATGCCCAACCAGAAAGCACACAATCCAACCACCACTGTTTAGCAAAAATTATAAAGGACCCATCACCAGTACTGCACCTATATTAAGGAACCATTTGGAATGAGCATTTTGGTTATTTCCATTTTGTTTCCACTCCAACTACAATGCTAAGAGAGTGCTTTATTTTGCTCCTCCTAGCACAACAAGATTTACATAACTGGTCCTGTACAGACATTGTGAGGCAAAATTTTCAATTTCTGCACACTTCCAGGGGTTATACTGGGAAGCATGGCACAAATTACTCATTTGATCTGTTTCTGAACATTAAAAACTTCTCTCCTGAAATTAGACTTGAATTATCATGATAATGAGGAAAATAGGAAACAGTTCTTTTTTGGAAACACAGATTTGGTGCACAATCTCTACGTTGCGTTCTTTTTCCTTTAGCAGATATGTCTTTCTTGAAGCAATTTTGTTTTCCATATTTCCTCCAGTAAACTATGGATCTTTGTCTTAGCAAAAAATATTGCACAGTTCTTAGATGCTTTCCACATTATCTATAACACCTCTCTTGAAACATCCCCAATTTCAGCATTTTAAGAAAAACACCACCCAATCATTGTATCATAACCCTTTCTAGCTCTTCTGCTTATCTTTTAATTTGCTTGAAGTTTGTCAGACATTTTTGCTGCATTATTTTTCCATCTGCTTTAAAAATAATTTTCTGGGTTTTTTGTTATTGTTTTTTCCAGAGTGAAGTGAATCAAATGCTAGAATCCAAATGGTTCATTAAATCTAAGTGTTGATCTCATTATGCTCTTGTTGGCTTGCATCTGTGGACTGAAATTATTTGTCATTTTGTGCAGCAGTGACAGAAATGCAAACAGGAAGGCTTGCATTAGTAGCTATGTATCACACCAACATTTCAGAAGACAGGTTACCTTTTTTGCTGCCTGTTCTTCTTCTACACCATCCCCAATTACAACATATACTACTTTTCTGCCAAACCTTTGCATTATTCGTTCAAAGCAACTTTCTTTTCCTGGAAGATAAATGAGATAAGAGTTCAGAGTGAAGTTACCTGATTAGCTGCATGTTCCTCATCTCGGCCATCTCCAATCACAACATAAGTTATGTTAGTGCCAAATCTGGACACTATACGCTCAAAACAGCTCTCTTTGCCTGAAAAACAATGCACTATTAATTCAAGCTATCACGTGAGTTATGGTGAAGCCTTACAGAGGAATTTTACAATGGTAAGACATTGCTACTATTGCTTTTATGATGTTTTGGGATTTGGAGCCCAATCTGGTAAGAAGCAATGGGCTCCCCTAGCGACACTAAGATGTTTCAGGTAAAACTAGATCTCTCAGGAAAGCCGCTAAGATAAGGAATTAGCAGCACTGCAAAAAATGAATAGGTTAGTGAATGAATAATTGAATTTAAATATTTCCTTATGATTGCAGTAATATTACAAGGAGAGTAGAAATTTTAATTCTAATGCATCTTCAAAAATGAGTGATGTAGTGATGAAAAGACTTAATTAAACGATGACTGAGATAATAGTTTTGCCTGACACTGCTAGAATATGCACCACTTTTTTCCCTTGTGAAAATAATTTAGGAAACATATTGCAGTGCCTTTGTCAATGAAGTGACACATTCAATGCTATAAAGGTTGTCGTAGGCATAGAAATGAAGCATTCCTGAATTGATGATTGGTAAAATCTGCGAAATTATCAGTCATTGTATGCTGCATCACATTTCACTGGCATGACAGCTTCTCTTGGTTTACAGTTTTGGATGCAATTTCCAGAAACCATACATTCCCAAACCGTAAGGCACAGAAGGCACACGGTTATGAACAGAATGGGGCAGTGCCCTTTTGTTACCCAGCAACACAGGTTCTGATAGTAACAGCTGTCATTCCCATCACTGACATACAATGCCGCAGGAAAAGGTTTGTGAAGCTGTGGCCTGGCTTGCATAGAGCTGAGGGTCAGAGTAGAGGCTAATTTAACGCAATTTCTGCTCAGATTTGAATTCACAAAAAAACTTTTCTTCATTCTTTTCTGCAAGTTTTTTGCTATCTGCACCATACTGAAGAGTTTCTGAGGCTTTTAATCAGCATCTCTATTTGGAATACATCCATTACTGGGGAAAAAAATAAAAAATTGGTAATGCAGTGCAGTCAGAATGGATGAAAGAATAATTTTCTTACCTATTTTGGTTGCACTGTATATATTTTCAATAGGAAAAGCTCCTCCTAAACTGTATAGTAGAACTTTTGCAAGTGCTGGGATAAGCTGGGTTGTTGTTACCAACACATTTACACAATTACTCCTAAAATGAGAGAAATAGTTTAAGTTTAAATACTTTTAAAACAGTACCCAAATGTTGATGAGGTGAACCAGATGAGGAGAGCACATTAAGGATCCCTCAACCTTTACTTTCACTCCCACAGTACAGCTGCTCAGCACCGTCACTTACAGAAAATGTACATAAAACCCCATGTGAAATCCTTAAAAAATATACAGGACTGATTTGTAGAAAATATTCCACAATAGTTTATGAAAACCAGGTCTTTGAAGATGGGTCTAGTAAAATATAGACATTTAAGACAACCAACAATCTCCAAAACAAAGTATTTGAATGCTTTGAAAACATAATTTTCACACTGGCAATTAACTGTCAGTAGCTACCAGCAAAATAAAAGTTAAGAGAATGCAAAATCATAATTTGTTACTCTTTTATCTATCTTTTATCTACTCTTTTACCTACACATTTCTCTTTGGAATGGAATCGCTTTCCTCATAATTCAAGAGTAAGAGTATCTCTGAAGAGAGGGAGAGATTAGAATGATCATGTTAACAAGCTAGCACTGAATGGTGAGTATGAAAACTTGAATGGAGAAGCTGTGCAGGCCAGAGATCTCAGAGCTGAGCTACTTTAGGCACTCACACGCTGGAACATGAGCATGACCATGATGTGGACATGGAGTTGAAAGTAAATACTTGTCAGTTTTCCCTCTGGCATTTCCACAAATTCCAAGCAAGACCCTAGGCTGCTATTTTCACCTTTATGTATCTCAATTTCCTGTTAGTAACGTATCAGTAACGTTTAGCTGACTCACAAGTAGCTTCTGAAGGTTTATAGTTGAAGTGTTCTTTGAAGACATGACAAAAGACTATTATTTAACAATCCTGAGTG